AGAGCCGAGTCTTGATCTCTGGTCGTCGTCGGATGAACCGGTCTGCCCATCGCCACCCCGACCTTCAACCCTCCTCTCTTTGCAAGCAATAGATCCGCCATCCCTTCCAAATCTCCCTTTCGCACTGGAAACCCCTGCTCCTCCAGCCTCAGCACATACTCAATGACCACCCTCTCCTCGGTTGCTGTCAACTTGGCATGCGGACTATGCGTATCTGTGCGTGCTTTGACACCAGCCATTCTGCGCTGCAGTGTTGAGTTCGACACGTTGTACTGCCTTGCAGCCTCTCGGATAAACAATGCTGGATTGGTCTTCATAGCGGCAAGAGCTAAGAGCACTCGGTGCTCATTGGAGGAGGGAGGCATGGGTACAACGGAGATGCATGACGATCATGTATTACAGGGTCCGTGATGTGACCCACTCACTGCTGTGACCCGCTTACTGCTAAACTACGTTAGAGAGCCCATGAGTATAGAGATAAGAAACGCGTTTTGTTGTGAGGGACGAATACTTTCTGAGCACAATGTGTTCCCGGCTATGACCGAGGTAAGGTATTGGTTATTAGATCAATAGTCTTCATGACAGACCATCCAGAGGTGGTTCAATGGGTGAATCCCAACCGTTGGCCAGTAAGGGACGTAGTTAGAGTATGAGATGTCGTGGCTGAAGAACCATGCCGAAAGCGAGTAACCTCAGCAGCGCAAGGGTCCTGCGACGAGCCGTAACAGTTGTGACCATCCCGTTTGAACTTTGCCTACCTCTTCAGCATTGTTTATGACGATGGGCTGGTATTATCTTCGACATGGCCAAGGCGGTTATACGCTGGCAATGCCTGGGTGATCTGCGTCGTCCACGCTCTTCCTGTACCGTGCTTTAAAATCTGGTTGTCTCTGGCTGGCATATATACGTCTTTCTTTGCTTTCTTAACAGAGACACGCTTTCAACATGTCAAGAATAGTCATGCTGCGCTTTATCTCTGCACCACGATCACTTCGACGAATTATGACAGTCTTTGTGCTTTGTATTTCTTTCGCCCTGTTTTTATTTCCCTTAGGCTCCCACCAACACAATTTGCCGCAGGCCAACCCCAGCAGCACAAATCCTTATGTGCATTCCGAATTCAAACACTCGGCGCACGATTTACACCGGGATCAGCAACAGCAAGCTTTCCACCTCGAAGAACACTTGTACCTCGATAATGGCCTACTGGAGGTGAACTCAAAGGCGCGACACCCCATATACGATCTCATCTGCGGAGCTGAGCGTGAATGGGAGCACAAGATGAGAAAACAGAGTCGTACATTGAAGCAAGCCGTGCTGGAATATCGCAGGAGATATGCACGGCCAGCACCGAGGGGTTTTGATAAATGGTATGATATTTGTCTGCGCCTCATGACACAACCTGACCCACGCCAGGTGGGCATACGTCAAGCGTCACAGGATCCAGCTCCCCGATGAGTACGATCAAATACTGAACGATCTCGAACACTTTTGGGCACACAAACCAGAAGATCTACGTCAACTACAGAATGCAACCCGCATGATCCCTGGGACGTTCTCTTTGTGTCTAACTCTACCACCGGCACCATATTGATGTCAAAGGTCAACGCGAAAGAGGAGGAAGTTGAGATTGCTCTGAAGAAGGCAAATGCAACATTGGAGCTCATTTACGGATTTGGTGATCACTGGATGAATGAGGATGGGACTCGATCGAACGTCATGAAGGAAATCGTCAGAGCGACAGAGAACTGGGAGATGACGATTAATGTTCATGATGAGCCTGTTCAACTGAAAGATTGGGAGCTAAACGACAAGAAGTTGCGCGCTGCCGAATACGGAGAATGTATGCTATCCTCGTCCTTGATATCGCTGAGTGCTGATTCCTATATCCATAGATATCGATGCTTTTACAAACCCCATGAGTAATCGCCTGGGATGGGCTGCTGCTTGCCCCCCGTACTCGCTCTTTCGAGGAGATAATCCTCGACCACCTAAGCTTCCACTGCCAGACCCGTCCCCGAAAACGTTCATCTACGATCATCAGAAGGCTATGGAACTTCCAGATGGGGATGCCAGCGTCGTTGGTCTTGCTTTTGACACAGTCAGGGTTCGAAAAACAAGCTTCGACGTCTCCGATTTCCGCTAGCACGACCTTAACACGGTCGGAGAACATGCTATATTGCTTCACTGCCATGCGGAGGCCTTTGGCGTAGAGGAAGGTATAACCCATGTCCTGTAATGCGGAGCGCTGGATAGGGATCTATCAGCAGGGGAAAGAAGTTATCCGAATAGAGAACTGCGTACCACTGAGGCCGCCCAAATATCCTCGCCCGCAACCTTTCCTTCGAACAGGTTGCGAAAATGAATCGAGGCAAGGATGACCACTGAACCTTGGTTCTCCCCGCATGTGTCCGATGCAATGCAACCTTGGAGCGCTTCGAGGGCACGCTCATTGTGGTCCTCCCAGCTCTGTTCTGGCTCTGCGAAGGATAGCTGCAAGTTACGTGTGTGCGATGTGTAATAAAATGGACGATGTCCGATCTTGCGCAAAGCCGAGAAGTGCTCGCTCCGAGCCAAGGAGATCAGGATGGCAACAAGACTGATAAGGCCTAGACGGACTGAACAAACTTCCAGCGCGGAGAAGAACATGGGCGCACCTAGAAAAATCCTTCTTCGCCTGGCCAAGCGAAATCCAAGACCTCGTCGAGCGCTGGAATTGAGGTAGACGTCGGCGACCAGAGCATCAGATGTTTGGAAGTGGGTGAGCATGCGGCGCTGCATCGTACTTCAGGTATCGGGTGGGGGAGGGAATGGGCCAAGGCGCTTAGAGTGTGCTGAATGTTGACTGCCGAGATCCTTGGGCATTTTGAAGGTTCATAGAGGGCGATGAGGTATGGGTTGTCAATGGACGAATGCGAATTACCCCTTGCCATGGCCTTCAGCGGAATGGAGTCTGGCAGAATAACAACTCGGAAACTTTCCAAGCGGTTGTTTCCTTGGAGAAGTTTGGAATTGTGTACGTACTCAAGTCGAAGGTGAGGTACAGCAAAATATTGGTTAATTAGGTGGCAAGTGAGGTAGACGACAAGTTGGACAGGAATATTAATACATCGGGTCGTTGCCGTCATGATCATCGGCGTCGGTTATCACGCTTTATATAATTAAGCACGTGCTATTTTTAGAAGTCAAAGCGGAATCAACCACAAAGGGTGTTTCAGTCATCTGTCACAGGGAGTAATCAAAGAAGATCTATCGAATATGTCACTTGCTACTGTAATGTGCTTCGGCTTTGTCCTTTGCCTTCCACGACGACAACACATCACTATCTTGATCTGATCTGCTTCACTACCGAACAACGTTGATATACTGTGCGGAAATGATCAACCTGATAAGAATTCGGGAGAGAATCGACTTCTTCCTGAGGTATAAATCGCCTTCTGAGGCATTCGATTCGAGACTAGCGTATCATGAAGTAAAAGTGGCGCGAAACGGCCATAGAATCTTAAACGCCAAGTGAGCGAACATCAGCCGGACCAGCATCTACCTCATCCTTCGTCCAGCATCGACTTGTCTCTTCACCCGTCAAAATCTAGGATCGAACTGCATCGATGCCTGCGATTGGGTGTGTTCGACGGCTGCGAGGTGTCTTGGGTGGCCTCTTGGCCGTCGCCGGACTGGCCAATATCGCTTCGAGCATGCAACATTCGACGACTTTGACACCTTCCAGAGCTTTCAAGCTACATCTTTCATCCTCCCCGGGTCTATCAGCAGAAGGAGATAATCTGTTTGGACTTGATGATGGAAGTCGGCATCTAGAGTCAGTTGTGTCGAAGGATGGCTCGATTCCACAGACGAAGTTACTTGTTCACGTCGCTGGTACGCCTCCAATCTCCTCTCGCGGAATGAAGAATCGTGCACATCAGGAAACAGTATTTTTGATCGACCCTAATAATCCACGAGGCACGCTGTACGTGGTGAACAATCAGTCCGACACTATTCCGGACGTCAGATTCATCGCTTCAAGCGGGCGTGCTCTGCAGCAAGATCCGACGCCCACTCAACGGGACTTTGCCAACATATGGGTTGAGACCATGTGGAAATCAAAGCAAATCAAGTTGGCATCACAGACCACGGTAGGCGAGCAATCCCGGAGATAATTGACGCTGACGCCCTTCTGCAGATCATGCTCGGAGTTCATGGCAATGGCCTCAGCAATCTCTTGTGGATGGAGAATCCTCTAGATCGACAGTAATGGATATCCATTATCCAGTAGCCTTTCGAGTCGATTACGAAGTTCCAGTCAAGTTCCTAGGGCATCAATACCGCTGCTTCTGGAATGAGACCTGTACAGAGGCTTGCATGATACAGTCCGCTGCTGACGGACTCTCAGATACTTCATCGAAAATAATCGGCTAAGCACAATCAAAGGCATACATAGTCCCAACATAATCGTGCAGTGGGTGTCTATCTCGATCCGAGTTTCTCGCATTTGATGTCTGTTGGCAGTGCACCGTGCGTTGTCAACGCAATTGCGGAGATTTTGAACCAACCATGAGAATGTGCACATATCGGCGCGAAATCGATGTATCGTCCTCAGTTTAGATCTGTGTAAATAGAATTAATTTAGAATTGTTAACCACACTTGCGAGTTATAATGATGCACGCTTCGATCCGGGAACTGGGGTAGGAACAATCAGTGGGGAAGATCGGTGCCCAGTGGCATATTTATGAGACAGGCGTGGGAGAAGGAAGCAATTCTCATGGACTAATGCCTCATTCAATGCGCATCGCAAAAGACAGCGAGAGAAAGGATCAGCCATATTCAACAAACATTATGCCACTATGCTGCAGCCTATGGGGCACCGTCCCATGCATGCTGTGTTGCTCTCCACTCGATCAACCACCTCTGCCTTGGCAAACTGGCGATTGCCCCTTTTCAAACTACCGGGAGAGCTCTTCTGGGGAATTTGCGATCTCCTTATTAACACTGACCTGCTTCGTTTGTCCGAAGTAAGTACCTCCATCTATGTTCTTCCCAGCAAGGCTGATATATTCTAGACCTGCCGCCTGATGCAACATGCAGTTCAAGCGGCCATTCTCGACCGAGTTGAACGCGGAGTACGCGTCGGAGCGATCGCCCCTTTGGATGCCGGCCTTCGACTGTGCGAATTGACAAACCATGAAGTACGAGTGCATCTATGGAAGGCGACAAGGGCTTGGACACGGGGTGTGAAGTCACCAGTTGGTCTGGCCTCACGTCTAGTAGCGACTTCGATTCCCCTGACTGGCCAACGCATCGAATGGCAGGCACTCAGCCATGGCACGCTTTTTGTTGTGCAGCACGGCATGTTGAGTCTCTACGACTACAAGAAAGGCATATGCCGCTTCGAAGCGCGGCTGCCGTTATTCGATGAAAATGCGGTGAACGACACCCAGCATGTTTCCGGCGGCATACTACGGACCGATCCGCGTACACCCAATTCTCATCGACTACTGCTAGAAATCACCTCTCGGCGTGGTCGAAAACCTATCGAACGATCCTTGGAATTCCTGTCGGTGCTTACTCGAAGCACAGGAGCTGCATTGTCCAAGGCAGGACAACTGCACGACAATCACGGCCTTGTGGCTTTCGACGGACGATTGAGCTGTACCACAAGGTGGAAGGGATCAGTCGATCTGCGTGTTCACGATTGGAATCGCAACGTGAGCCTACAACTCCAGGTTTCGCACCACTCTCGTAGACCCTTTCCCGTAAGTTTCATCAGCGCACTACAATGTATCCCACTGATCATGTATTGGCAGGGAAAGGTGTTAGCCGCCAAATTCGTGCAGGACTATCTGATCGTCCTCGTCGACCGCTATGTATGCGTGTACGACCAGCGCGACTTTCTCGCGGCTCCGCGTTCCATGTCATTGCAGACAGCCCCTTTGAAGGAGGTGATCGAACTGGACCATATGCTTTGGGCCGCCGCAATGTGGCAGTCGGACGTGCAAACCACGTTTCTCCAAGGTCTGCCCAGCTCTCAAGATGAAGTCTGTGTGGGATTTCTGGGTAGAACTCAAGACACGATTCGGCAATTCCATCTCCGAATCTATCATCGCGAATCCAAGGAGCCCGCATGCCTAAGGTCTTTGTCGTTTGCACTGATACCACGGGAAAATCGAGTATCCGGCCTCTTGGTTGGTCGATCTGGGTTGGACGCTTTCTGGATTGAAGACAGTAAGCTCGTTCGCGCCTTACTTCCCCCACGTTCAAACATCACACCGCACCTTGAGGAGAAACTGCAGACTGAGTTCATTTGGTCGCCGTCGGAAGAACTTACGCACGCTAGGATCCTAGCCTTCGATGATGTCCGCGTGGCTCTCGTCATCGGTGCCCTGCAGGGCCGCACTCTTACCTTGCTGAGTGCACCGTCGAGCGACGCGATCGTCACCGTCCCGTACAAATGTTCCGAATCAATTCCGATGGTAATGGATAAGAGAGGTCAGGAAAATCGGCGGACAGAAAGAAAGGCTTCGCTTAAGGCGTTACTGGTACGTCAGCCTGCCCAATAGGGATGTCGGACAGTTCTGATTCTAGTGTAGGACAACATGCGCCGTAGTCAGGTGGTGGAGGAGTGCCTCGGGGAAGACCTCGAGGAGAAAGCCGATGAGAATCCCGAAGAACATTTGCCTCAAGGCTTTCTGCCATGGAGATGTCGAGAGCACCAGTGGAAGGAATGGCCGGGGGGATATGCGCATATTCTAGCCGAGGGGCTGCATATACCCGGCCCCTTTAGGCCTCTGGCCTTCAAACCCACTCACACCATGATGTTGCAACTGACCAATGGTTGCTATGTGACATTCAGCGACGTCCGGGATTCCTCGCCCCATTTTCTCTGGCAGGCATGTACTTGTACCCTCAATGGGTCTGAATGGTTGGCATATGTGAAGAATGGAGGTAGCAAAGGTATTGGGCCGCCTTGCTATTGTTGTGCAGTGAACTGGGATGCTCTTGTACGAGATCAGGCGTGGATGCGGGATGTGGTGTTTGCTATACACGGTCTGGAAGAGGACGGTGACGATGCGGTGTCCATGGCTGTCATGAGGGCACTGCGGCGCTTGGGGGTGTATGGAAAGATCTCGGATGCCTAGCGTGAAACAGCAGATCATGATTCTAGCCCAGTAATGACATCCTATCACCATGTGCTCCCAAAAAATTGCTTAGACCCTCTTCCTGTTCGTTTTCTTCATCAAGTGTAGCATAGGGTATCCCGATCATGGAATTGTTTGATGATTTCCCGTCACATTACAGGTATCGTTTATATGGGCATGCTGGAAAGAGGAGAGAGAGGCAATCTGATAGAGGCGGTGCGGACCGTTGAGGGGCAGATAGGGAGAAGGGCCGGAATAAGTCAATGCAGCCAAAGCGAGTCAAACGGCTGACACAAAACTCACCTTCACCTATGGAAGTAATGGAAGCAACGTTGACAGAGTGAGAGAGAACAGGCTGTGTGCAAGACGACGGAGGTCTAGCTACTGGAGTTAGAGCCTCTTCAGCTCCAATCCTGCTGCGGTCGACCACGAGATGCTCATCGCCTTCTCCTGCCTCGGCATCCCTCTCGTGCTGCTGCAGGATGTGCCTGTTTCCGCTGCTTTTGACATTTCCCGCAACAAATGCGGTAAAGCTCCGGAACTCAATTGCGATCATAGAAATTGAAGTGCGGGATTGCCGGATATCAGGGACTCGAGACGCGACTCATAACTGATACCGTTGCCCATTGATTACACAACTCTTCCCAGCTTACTTCTATCTTCTCTCCTTCATCCATGCACCGGCGCCGTATATCCCGTATCATCACTGCGCCAGCTAGAGCAGTTACAAGGCGGTTCTCCAGTAGATCTGGTTTATTAGCCACCCTCATCGTATCGTCGCTCCTTTATCTCGCTCTTTCTGCATCACGCCATGCTTCCGAGCTCACACTCCCTTCATTCTTCGGTCAGTATCCAGCACCACACCACCAACGTCCACTAGCACACACACCATATAACCCCCCACCATCAATACATGATGACGAACTGGAATCTCCATTCTTGCCTGGGATGACGACAGTGGAATTTTCCGGGATTGTCGACCTCCCTCCTCCCGCTCAACCCGAGGCCCCTTCTATACCGATTTCTGAACCAATCATAACAGGAAATCATCGCTTCTTCCCCCCGCCCCCTCCACGCACCATCGTCAAAAGCTCACTTCCTCAATTCTCTTCTGGGTGGACCGTGTTCCAAAATCTGTATTTCTCCAATGGCACTTTCTTCATCGTCAAAGATCAGGACCAGGGTGGATTCGGGGAAGGCTACTGGCCTGAACGCCGACTTATCACCAGCACGGGTCTTCCAGGGCTGGCAGGGAATGAAGCCGAGAGAGAGCCAGGGTTAAAAGAGATGGAGGTCATTGACATCGAGGAAGCAAAGCGAATATGGGAAGATCGCGTGTTTGATGTAGGAGGCTTCTCGGTCCTCGTCAACGATCCTACACAATTCCTGCGTAACTGCCTCCCTTTTCGCTTTCATTTCATTAAGTACTGATTCATAGTGTAGGTCACTATTATCACGTCGCTGCGGAGCTGTTTTTCGCTACTGAGCGCGTCATTACCAACTTCGATCCCATGCCTGCGCCCGACGGTACCATCAATGCTCCTAATCCAAATCGAATGATCTTCATTCACTGTGATGAGGAAGGGTTCTCGGATGGACCAGGATTGGACCACTTCTTCCTCGTGCGCTATTCACTCTTCTTCATGTACTGGGAGATCTGACACACTCTTTGCACAGGCCGCACAATTCCCCTCCATGACCCCGCTGTTTCAGCCTTCCTGGGAAAGAATGGCACAGCAAGTAGAAGCATCGCGTCGTGTCTTCCGCTTCCCTGGAGCGCTCTTCGTTGACCGCTCAGCGGCCTTCCGAGGAGGACCTACCGGCTCCACATCGCGCACTCCCGCGAGTCCGTGGCAGGCTGGTGGTGGAAGCTTCGGTACTGGAGGACTGGGGCGCAATCAGTTCTGGTATGAGTCCGCTCGCCGGAGAGTGCTGTCTTTCGCGGGCGTTTCAAAAGATATTCTCGATATCGGATTGCGTGCGATGGACCCACCTCTCGCAACCGGCAAGCCTGACCGTCCTGTCATCACCTACATTAGTCGGCAGCGGACTAGCAGAAAACTGCGGGAAGAAGATCACGAGTCGCTGGTGGACGCATTGCAGGAGATGTGTCTAAGGCATAACTGGGAGTTTCAGTTGATGGTCGGAGAGACCATGCCTCGAGACGAGCAACTACTCTGGGCTGCACGAACCACTGTCATGGTCGGGGTCCACGGGAACGGTCTCACGCATCAGCTCATGATGCCACCTCATCCCCGGTCGGCCATCCTGGAAATGTATCGACCACCAAACTTTGCCAAGGATTACGAGTGGACTGCGGGCGTGCTGGGCCACGCCTATTATACTATCCACAACGACACGTTCTGGACACCCCCAAAGCTTGCGGACATCAATTACGACGACTGGAACACGGACAAGGTCAAGTCGATCCCAGTCTACGCGCCAAACGTGGTCGAGATCATTGAACAACAACTCTTGGGCGAGAACCAAGGTCCAAAACATTGGCAGAGCTGGCGGGAGGACGTTGGGTATTGAATAACTGTAGAAACGGTACAGCGGACGAAATCGTTGGTATTTCTTTCGAGACTCTCAGTACTAGTGCATACATGGATGTACATATCGCGTATATTAGTTTAGTACACACTCATTGTTCATGTACGTTTTACATCATTCCCCCGTTGGCCGGACATTCAATGAAGAAGCGGATCTGGTTCCGGAATCTGTAGAAGTTGTAACATTCCGGCTAGTCCGCGTGGAACGAAGCCGGCAACGCCGGCAGAACCCTGGCTTGCATGACAACAAGGACATTTTCTATACTTTGTACGTGTTTCCCCTCTTCTCCTTCTTCATGGTTGCAAGTACAACCATCATTAATTCTCTTCGTCTTCCCGCCAAGCCCTGAAATATCGGCGCTTGCTCTTCCCGACTGTGCCGGGACCCTTGCCTTTAGAAATTCCACTGGGACCGTCCAATTTCAACCACGGTCTTTTCTGCTTTTCTCTCATCTGGGCACTGTGTAGCAACACTGTACATCTAAGCAACTGGGTCCAGCAACTGTCTTGAATAACAATATGCAGCGGGGATCATTACCACCCAAACAACGCGGTTATCTTGCTGTTTGTTGCATTGTCATTATCATCTGCATTCTTTGGTTCTATCGCAACCAGGTCCTTCTCGAAGCGACAGCGTCTTACAGAACGTCATTAACATCGACACCAACAAGTCTTAATCATACCTCCCTGTCATCACTCCGAGTTGCCGTGGTAGAGCAGGAGGAATTCCACAATGAAGTACTCGGCGCCGTACTAAGCGATCTCCTACGACTTGGGGTGAGGCCGCAAGTGTATAGTGAGTCATAACTTTTGCGTCATGTCGTAAGCTTAAAGGAATATGATAGGATCTGTGCCCTATCTATATCGTTTCGGGGATGTACTCCAAAGATTCTATCCATACGGCTTTGATCAGAGTATTGTCAAGAATGAAGATACTGGTGTTTTTCAGCCGGGCCCTGTGGAAGACGCAATTCGTGCAGGCGAATATGACCTCGTCATCCTAAATAGCTGTAAGTTTGTCATCACTGGTTAATGTCGTGGCTAAGCGTGTAACAAGGCCATTGGGCAATCTGGTGGGAAACAAACATATTCATGGCCCTCAACTCGAGCGACGCTCACGTCATTTGCATACTACACACTCCCCATGAAGAAGGCATTGGCAAGGCCCGGTTTCAGTATAGCGCTCTCGGAGCCCAAGGAAGGTTCACTGGCCTTTCACTTTCCACTCATACACAGGATGCTGCCATGAAGCTTTTCGATAAATGGGCTGATAAAGAGCACGATCGAAGCTGGGACAAGATCCCCGTCGAGTACTTTGTGCCTGTAAGCGTTCCAACTTCTGAGGATTTTGGTCAGCTGACCAAAGAACCCAGATTTTCCCTGCTATTTCCGACCCTCAGGCTATACACAAATCAAGGATACCAAGCAAGTTTGTCATCCAGGGCTCCATCGATACCTTACGACGCAACTATGACGGACTGATAGCAGAGCTGTTACAAATAATGAAAGGTATATCTCTTCCTGCTTCCAATTGCCTTCTGCAGAGTTCCCTAACATGTTGTAGCTGATCTTCATTCCTGGGGCTACTACCAAGAAAAAGAGGGATCACCTTTCCTTCCACTGAAGAAACCTGCACATGGCGCCATACCACCACCTTTCAACCTGCACTTAATCGGCCACAGCATCCGAGAACCCAAGATACCCGACGAGATGGTGAACGTCGTCCATATCCGGGATAGCCCCGACTTCGAGGAGTTTTATGGAACACTGGCTGAGATGGTAAGGCGCACCACTCCACGAACCCAGTCCGTTGCTGACACGCAACAGGATGTCTTGATTCCTGCATTCTCGGCAGACCTATACCTCACTGCAGTAGCATCATCATCCATTCCTGCAGCAGTCATGACCAGAGTACGTCTCTGCCCCGGCTCTATATGCCGCTAACTCAGCCACAGACACCCATCCTCGCCTCACCCGCCCATCTAAGAGCATACGGCTATCTCGCTCCTCCCGCAGTGATCGTCCGCCCCAGCAGCATGTCCGATGCAGAAGCAATCTCTCGTTTGCGCGCTGGGCTGCCTTTGCTGGAGGATACGGCAATCCAGGGCAACAGGTTTGACCTGCCGGAGTATAGGGACTGGGACGCATATACGGAATCTCTGTTGCAGAGTAACACCGTCACCTGGAGACGGATACTAGCCAGGGCCATCCGAAACTAGCATTGAACACGGACAATAGGAAGGAAGGATTTTTAGATAGCGGACAGCGTTAGTGAAATAACCTCTTTCATGCGTATCCGGGCTTGTTTCTTTTGCTCATCTATGTCGATACTGGTATCAATAGCATGTGTCTATCGTACAATGCGAGTGCCGAGCCGTGCTCTATTACCATATCCAAGGATGATAACCAAGAACCCAGAATCTAGAAATGCGAGACGGGTCCATCCCTCCCGATACCGAGTTTACATGGAGACGATCCCGATGAGCTTGAAGGTGTTCCCCTCTGCTGGGTCGGCAGTGCCAGGCAGAATCTCGCACGTGAGGGTATGCCAGCCAGGCTCCACTTGGTCGTCGATCAACGCATATTGGGCGATACTCCTGCGGCGTTTATCAGCAGAGGTGCGGACAAGGGGAAGAGTGGACGTACACCGGGTAACGCCAGTATCCCACCACAGTGGTTCCGAACTCTCGCTTATTGTCCACCCAACATCCTGCGTTCCCCAGGCCTTGCCTCATGCTCCGCAAATAGAACACCCCCACAGTACCCGTCTCGACATACACCCTGAATGCGATCTGCTTTCCAGAGATGTTCGACGTCCAGTACATCTTGTCCGACGTTGCTTCTTCATAGTGCCAGCCATCGACGCGCGCGGGGGAGAGACGCGGGTCCGAAGTAGTACTGATACATATGGGGGCCTTGACTCGGTCGACAGTATCGTGGTCCCATTGCTGGGTCATACGGAGCCGGGGGACCTCACCAAGCCCCTCAGTGGTCTGCCACCAAGGGCGCTCCTCGAGGTCGTAGTCCGTCTCCTCTTCCTGTGCCTACGGAGCTTCAGCCAACCACTCGCACAACAAGGGGGCGCACGTACATCGGGCCCAAACTCCTCGCAGATGACGTCCCGCATCCAGGCTGTCGTCAGGTCGGCGAGTAATTCGTGCCCGACGGAATTGATATGCCGTAAATCGAGCCCATCTCGCTCATTCCAGAATATATTGTTCTCGACGTTGTAGTCGTGCATAAGGTGGGGGAGGACAGTGTTCCTCAGACTGCGGGGGTTAGGGTGTGCAGGAAGGAGGGTTAGGGGGCACACACCTGATCACGGGGATGTCATAGTACTCTGCTACACCAAGATGGATATCCCCACCTGTGCTGATCCTACATGCTGTCAGCAACACTCGCCCCACAAAACGAGAGACAGACTCACCCCTCGGAGAACATGAGGGCAAACGTGCTGAGGACGACGACCGCCGGCCTGCTAGGTAAGCTCAACAGACTCCTGACCAGCGTCTCGAACTCGATCGCCGCGTCCACCTCCCTAAAGTCGTTGATACTGAGCTCGACAAACACCAGGTCAACATTGTCAGGCAGCATCTCTCGGAAACAGAGGCTGAAGTAGTCGGACCCGGTGGCGGGTTTAGAACTGTCGATCATGGTGTTGCGTCTGTGGTTGAAGAAGTTGTTATTCCATTGCTGGAGGATGCGTGCGTGAAAAGTCTCGTTTTGCTTCACACCGTGACCAGCGGATACTGTGATCATCAGATGTGTGCTCATACGGAGGAAGGGAAGGGAGAGGTACCAGACCCGCCAATAACACCCATCGTCACCGGTTCGCCCTTCGCCGCGCGCCTGACGACCTCTCTAAACCTCCATCCTGTGCCAATATACCCCCTACTAAGGTCCAAATTCCATTTTGTGAACTTGCGGCTCCACCAGTCCTCTGCTGCGTGTTTCCTGCAGTAAGCGAATGGCTTGCTCGATTTTTGCGGTTCCGTGGCCGGTGTAGGGGATGGACGTGACCAGCTGAGGGCGGAGCGTACTGAACGCGCTGGAGCGGTGAGTGTTGATGTGGTTACTTTCCCATAGTTTCCCAGCCTAAGAAGGAGGACGAGGGCGCATATTATGAGGATGAGCCTTCCTAAATAACCTAGTCTTAGACGACGGGAAGGGAAGAAGCGCCTGTGATTCCAGAGTCTGAGAGTGGGCATGAGTATTGGCATAGCAGGAGAATTGGGGAAAAAAAGAGAGAGAGTGAAGTGTAGAAAAGGCTGTTCAAAGTAAACCGTGATATGCGGAAAGGGACAGGGCGCTAAGAGGCGGGTCACCGTTTTGCGAGACAATGAGGCGGGTTATCTGTCAACTCTAGATCTGCACCAGATAGTCAATGTTCTATTATTCTTTTCTCACAGGGTTACGGATAGAAATATATATTCAATTTCCCGATACTTGTTTCCTATGGATATCAGGAGCGGATAAGATGATGAAAGAGATTCATAGATATGGTCTGCGGTGCAAACGTGGAGTTCCGCCACAGTCATGTACGCTGGAATGGTTGTCATGTACAAGTGGTACAAGTGGCTGTGCAAGACTATACCTTACCCGCCCCTTCTCTTCTCTTCCCCATCCGAACCTGCCTCAATTTCCCCCCTCTTTTCTAACAGTATTACTCCTGCAATAAGCAAGCCCCAAAGTAGCGGCAAATAGCGCAATTTACTTAGGATTAAGGGTCGATGGTCTGCGGTTAAAAGAATATTTAGGCTTGGGGATTCCAGACCCTGACGCGGCTTGGGCGGCTGTTCCGGATTGACGGGCATCATCCATACCTTCATAGCGCCCGCCCCTTTGGCCCCCCCTCCCCTGCATTTCCCCTTTTTCTACTCCTTGTCACCGCCCTTTCTTTTCTTGCTTCACGACCACCACAACGCCATCTTGCCCACTCAACGATCCCCCCCATGTCACGAAAACCCAACCAGCAGAGGATAACCCTCACCCGACCTAGACGGCGATTTCCCAGAGCAGCCATCCTCTGTGCCGTGGCTGTCACGCTCGGCCTAGCATTCACATTCTTTTTCCTTGTCACGGTATGCATTCATTACTGCAAATTGATATGCTCTGACATGTACAGGCCCACACGCAAGGTACAGCGTACGCAGAAGAACCGACATTCGAGCGCTCCTCCTCCCTCCCACGACATCGTTACCTCCCCTCAGGGCTGCTGCGCTCCAACCCCCGCGGCAGGCATCCCATATACGACCTTATAGGGGATGCGGAGCGTGCGTGGCAGGAAAAAGTCGATAAGCAGAGTAGGACGTTGGAGGAGGCGGTGGCAGAGTATGGTAGGAGGTATAGGCGCCCGCCACCCAGAGGGTTCGATAAGTGGTGAGTCTCACGTGTCCGTCTTACAACCCACGCCGACGAGAATGCAGGTGGGATTATGTTCAGAAAAAGAACGTTTCCCTCCCCGACGAGTATGACCAGATCCTCGAGGATCTTGGGCCGTACTTTGCCTATACACCCCGAGCGGCACGGGCACTGCAGTCCGCCAACGCCGGCCAAATGGGGACTTACACGATCCACTCCAACCCCGCAACAGGCCAGATAGAACTAGAGACGTACAACTTTGGGGACTCGCCTGGCGTCATACATGCACTTATGATGCGGGTTAAGGCCCAGCTGGAGCTGATGCGGGGGTATGATGCTGAGCTCCAGGAGGGGCAGGAAGTGGAGGGAATCGAGCGGGAGCTCGTGGCTGCCACGGGGGAGTGGCAGGCTACGTTTAGGAGCGATGACGGGCCTGGGGACTTTAATGACTGGGAGTTTACCCAGATGCTCAAAGACAAGGTCGAGGATGATGACTGTGTGTTTTTTTCCCTCGATTTGCTGGGTGGTGCTGACTGCGCGCAGTCGTCAAGTGGGCCGAAACACCGGACATGACTTACCGTGGCTGGGCATCAGCTTGTCCTCCTGACTCGTCCCTCCGACAAGCGCTCTACGACACCACCGCCGGGCAGCTCGACAAGACCGAAAAGTACTTCATCGCCGATCACAGGAAGGCGATGAACCCCTGCTGGCGGCCGGATCTGACTAAGATATCTGGCTTTCTCGCTAGCTTTGGACAGGGCCCAGGACCGCAAGAAAGGAAGAAACTCGTTTTCTCACTGAGCAAGACGCAAGGCTTGCACTCGGATATCCTTAGCGTACCAAACGACATGGCCGACCCATGGTTCGAAGGGAGCGAAGACGTTGCCTGGTCTGACAAGGCTGAAGATAGGGTCGTTTGGAGGGATTGGACGACTGGTGTGTTCCACCATCCTAACATGCCCTGGCGCACCAGCCACCGAGTCAACATGGTTACCACGCTCACCGCCAAGTCCGGGGATAGGCCTGTCCTCCCTGCCCGTGCGCCCTCGACACCCGTAGGCACACCACATGTCCTCGATGCTGGGGAGGTCAACCGCGCCCTCGCCGATGTGGGATACATCATCCGCCCTATCCAGTGTGACGGCGGCGCGTGCGAAGAGATGGAGACGATGTTTGACTGGCGGCGACCTCTGCCTATGCAGAAACTGCGCAAGTACAAGTTCTTATTGGACATTGACGGCAATGGCTGGAGCACGCGGTTCAAGCCGTTCCTTGCGGCTAACTCGGTCGTTATGAAAGCTACTATCTTCCCGGAGTGGTATATGGACCGCATACAGCCTTGGGTACACTACGTGCCCGTGCAGATGGACATGGGGGAGGTGTATGACATCCTGACGTTCTTTAACGGGAATGTGGATGAGAATGGAGAAGGCGGGAACGACGCTTTAGCAGAGAAGATCGCTGCAGCAGGGAAGGATTGGGTAGGCAGGTTCTGGCGGAAGGAGGATATGATCGCCTACACCGTGAGTCACTCTTGGTTTCCCGGAGATCGCGGAACTGATGAGATCCAGTACCGCCTCTTTTTGGAATATGCACGGCTTGTAAGTGATGATCGGCAGAGGATGAACTTCGTCCCTTCTGGACCGGCCCTGCAAGTTCAGGGCCAGAACTAGATGGAGGACTGGAGGTGGATTGGGGATGGACGCACTGGATTGGACGGTGCACGGACTGAACTGCGTATATACCTTGTATAACACCTCGTCTGGGCCTGTTGCACTTGCATAAATAGACGCATCTACTCATCCTTGTCATCTGTGGTTGGCTGTGGTTGGCTGTGTGAGAAGGAAACGGCCGAACCTCCTATCGGCTGCACAGTGGCTGTACAGAAAGCGGAATCAGAGAACACTGCCACAAAACTCGGATGTATCAGTAAGGTTGAGGACGTGGGGTGCGCGAATTGGACGCGCCCCTTGCCCAAGTCGTGTACCGTTATCGTCCTCCTCCTAACACGATGGAAGGAACGACACCAAGTATGCCATCGACACCACCCCAAAGGACCAACACGCCCTCGACGAGCTGTGTGCACGACACACCGGTATGCGGACGCGCTACTGACAGCGTGGTATACCAAACCGGCACGCTCCGCGAACGTCGACAGCTAGTTGCAACAACACTCGGGGATATACGCGAGTATTGTAACACCAATTGGTGGGCACAGGTCTTGCCAAAATGGCCCAAGGATGCCCCCAATGATCTCGCGGAGTCTATCTATGCGAAACTGGTACAAAAGGGCGAATATGTGGAGGAGGAGCAAAGATGGAAGTCGTTCCCTGTTGACCCGGCACGAGACCAACGGCCCGAGACAGCAGTACACAGGGACTGGAAGCTGGTGGTCGACCAGATCGTCCAGGCGTTGCATTGCGTATATCGGCCTCAGGTCGATGCGTTGGAGTACTGGCAACAGCCGAGCCTGGCTCCTGAGAGTCAAGTGCAAAACCTCACTCGGCCGGATTCGTATATGATCCGACTAGCCAAGATGCTAGCTAAGATGGCGACGGCGGAGCCTGATGTCCCCGACGATGGGTCTAAAACCGGAGAAACGGAGGCGTCCTCACTCGGCGTCATGAAGAAGCTTCAGAATCCGAAGCACTCGTGGAAGGATATCTGCGAGGTAGGAGAGTTCAAGAAGGTGGATTCCACAAGCCAGAACGGCGACACTGTAGGGCCATGTTAACGCTGCCCCGAGTATAAGTACTGACATATGCCTTCAGGCTGTTGAACAAGTTATATGGAGTATCCACCACATGCTGCGGGAGGATTCAGCCCGCAGGTTCGTGTACGGGTCGACTTTCATCGGCAGGGAGTTCAGATCCTTCCTGGGATCACGGATTGGGGTTTTTGCGTCTCAGGCAGTGGATGTCCACCATGTAGGCCTGGGTCACGGTGTTGTTGCAGGCCGTACGTTGACCTGGGCATGCAGGATCCGAAGAGCATCATACAGTATTACGTGAGGATGATGTGCGCCGACGACATCAGCCTCGGGTGGGACGCGAGCATGACGCGGAATGAAGAGGGGCAAATTGTGTTCAGCTTGGAGACGGGGAACAAGGCCCCGCCGCTCGTCCTGACCGCAACCAGAGAGCTGTTCAGCCAGGCGGCTGAGAACATTCGAGGCCGGGCCACGCGTGTCTTCGAGGTGACCCGAGACTCGGAGGGAAGTGTATTCGCTCTCAAGATCGGCTGGATAGAAGAGGGCCGCCTCACGGAGGGCCAAATTATCAAGAATATGAAGGAAAGTTTAAGAAAAGTGGACCCGAACGATCAGACGCTGGAGCAGCACGTACTGGACATCGAGGCGGAGGGAGTTGTAACATTCCCAGATGTTGGAGAAGATACGACACGACTACCTCTCGGGAACATGGATATAAATGGCGACAAGTGTGCGGTAATGCACCTGCCCATCACCGCATCGATGCAACAAATAATCTCGCTCAGCAGCCATCCAGGCTCGATTGGTGGGTTCGAAGAAAAAATGACGGGCGTGCCCTTGCGGTCAGTAAGCAAGGTGCATCGGGAACACAGGTGGACTCTATACAAGGCGGTGCTGAAGCCAATCTGGCAATTGGACGACCTGCGGGATATGTGTTGCGGGTTGACAGACGTCGGTAGAGGTGAGGTGGCTGTACGGAGCGCGAACTGGCCGCTGATTTCGTTCTGCTAGCACTTTCGGCCGTTGCGAAGGCGGGGTACGTACACAGGGATCCTAGCGCGGGGAATGGATACTGGGACGAGAGGAAGAAGCGAGGGTACTTGAGCGATTTTGAGTATGCTGTACCCTGGGAAGGGGAACGGGCGGGGCACGGCGTGCGAACGGTTAGCGTGCTGAAGTGTGCATGCTCCGTGTTATGACTGATGCTAGTGTTCAGGGAACGCCTATGTTTATGCCGCTCGAAGTGGCCAAGGGTGCATGGGAGTTCCCCACACCAATTCGAGTCTCTGCCATATCACGGGGGGCAGCGCAGGTGCCTGAGTTTCTCGCGACGCCGCTGCATGATCTGGAGTCATGGGCTTGGGTTTGGTTGTGGGCAGTAGTGCGGTTCCAGCCTGTCGGAGCAGCCGGACCGACGGAATGCCAGAGAATCTTGAGTAGTTTCCTGTTTAACGGCAATCCAGCAAACAGCAGCCGAGGCACGTACATCAGGTGGAGGGCTTGCATGGCGGGGAAGAAGCTGTGGTCGCTCCAGGATGAAGGTGGCAGTCCCCTGGCATTCTCTGTCGTGGCCGACCTTGCGAATACTCTGTTCAAAGTGGTACACGCCGAACATCACGAGTACCAGAAGTTGTGGACACCGGACGTCTTTGCTGAGGCATGGGAAAGTGCATTGAACTTGTGTATCGAAACGACGCTCCCCGGGAACATCCCAATCAAGCCCTGGTCGGACAATCCCATGCTCGGCGGGCTGGTGCATCGTACAGATCGAGCAGGGTCTCAACACAAACGGAATGCTTCTCAGAGTGTCAGCCGCGAAACAGCGAAGAGAAGCAAGGGAGAGTAGGATGATTCTGCCTATGCTGAGTTTTGTAGTGTCTATATGGATGCTGCTAATCGCTACATAATTATTGCTGCTTACATAAGTCATGGCGCGCATGGTCGCGCTGAAAATTCGGCCAAATTCGGCCCAAAACTGTGAGACAGATAACTCAATGAAAACAACAGATAATGCAATGGTCTAAAGAGGAAAGTTGGTCATAGAGACTTTGGCTAGAGCTGCAAGAAGAACAAATACCTAAAAAATGGGAAGGTGAATGAGATGAAAAGATAGCATTCTGCCAAAGTATTAGTGAAATCAATGTTCAGATCCAAATGTTGATTCATTTACACTGAAATATAATGACTAAATCAGTGATACCTAGAGCTGTCTTTAGAGATTTGAGCAATATGATGATGTTATGGCAAAAAATCAAAGCTTGGAAGACAAAGGAATACAAGGTACAGTAACTCCTGCTAAACAACCCCACCTTTGGTGGGGTGTGTCAGGCTGACATTCCCACAGTTATTTGGAGCACAGCCAAGCATTGCACGGTACTATGGACCCTCACAACCAGTACAACAGACCCTCACAATAGGTACAACAGCCCCCATAATGAGCACTGTCCCTCCAAATATTTTGGTATACAAAACTTGGATCTTGCTATGCATCTAGATGCCAGGGGAGCATTTAGCACAGCCTAGCCTAAATAGTATAAGAACACCACAAAATCTGCTGTACTTAGCTTATCTTCCCCTCTTCTGAGAGGTGCTTATATGGATCCAATTTTTCCTATACTGGCAGGAAGCATTTGTCAGGGCACCAGCTCATTGCTTGGTCAAGAGACATGACTAAGCCTTTATGACATGG